AGCTTTGCGCGAAATTCAAAAACAAACAAACTATTACCTAGTTACTTGTTGTAACAGAAAATATTATATTATGAACCAACGGTATGAGATTTAGATCTTATCCCATTCCATAAATTTAATGAGTATAGGTACATAGAAACATTTTGCAAATAACATCGACGAGATGTTCTGCTTTATCAAAAATTTTTTTTTTTAAATTCTGTAGTTGAATAAAAATAATTATTTTTCATTAATAAAGGTGAACAAACAAAGACATTTTTATGGCTACGGAAGAAGTTTTTAGATTAAGTAATCGAAATCAATTCTATAATTTATCACACGATTAAAATATAATATTATAGTATACATTATATTATGAGTGGAAATTTGCATTCACGCATACTTAGAGCTACTTGGACCAATATTTAAGTCACAAAGAAAACGGGCAGTTTTTATGCAACTATTTCTTGTCGTCCAGCACATCTAGTCTAGATCAAAGATTTCAAGATTTCAGTAATTTTTCACATTTCGTAACGTTACAGAACATACATCAATCTATCAATATTACCCATTATATAGAGGTGTTTGTATGTGTAAAAAGTCTACTTATCTTATTGGGTCTAATTCATGACATATTGTTTCGGTTTCTAAATTCAGCGAAGTCTAGAAACTTCCTCTGAGTATAATGTTGAGTTCTAAAGAATGGTATATATATGGAATGTTCTGTATTTAATTTGTTGCTAACTTGTGTATTTTGTGGTATGTTGTATTTTTTGACAGTGAGATCTGAATAAATTAAACTGTATTGTAGTTACATCTTGTCTATTTTTAAGTTTGGTTTCTTTTGTTACTGATTGTACTGAAGTCACTTAAAAACAGATAATCAATAATACAAAAGTTTAATTAAACACGTTTCATTAACCTGACAAAAGTTCGTTTATTACTTTAGTTTTAAAACTGTTTTGGTTACTGTCTGATGTTTGTTTTATGTTTTAAACTGTGACAGGGATTCAGTTTATGAAGAATAGTCTGCCAGCTCTTTCCAACTGGGATATTCAGAAACTTCAGTTCCTTTCTGCCCTGCTCTTGTTAAAGTTATTTCGCGCTATTGCGTTAGCCGGATACTTTTTTTTCTCAGCAATAAACCTTTCTTTGTTTATCAAACTTTGTTAATGTGGGTCGCGGGTTCGAATCCACGTCACACCAAACATGCTCGCCCTTTCAGCCGTGGGGGCGTTATAATGTGACGCTCAATCCCACTATTCGTTGGTAAAAGAGTAGCCCAAGAGATGGCGGTGGGTGGTGATGACTAGCTGCCTTCCCTCTTGTCTTACACTGCTAAATTAGGAACGGCTAGCGCAGATATCCCCACTGTAGCTTTGCGCGAAATTCAAAAACAAAACAAACAGTACAAGCACAGCTCGTCACATAACTTAGGAGAAAACGATTAACATTCAGTACTATTAACGCTACGGTTGCAGCAAGAACACGTGCAAGGTAGCATCTCAATCATCCTTGTTCTCGAATGGTGAAAGTAAAATATATTTATGTGATGTCGTACGCAGAATTTATGTGATGTCGTACGTAGAATTAGGGATTTGAGTGACAATAATAATTGTTTTGGGATATTGCTTTCCCAAAAACATATTGAAAACATATGATGAAAATACGTAAAACATAGAATTCAGTAAGAATATATATCGTTAATCATCTTTAAGTTCCCGTATACCATTATAAATTACTACGTCAGAAACCAAATATATTGAGCACCTTCAATCCAGACTTCCTTACATCAATGGAGAGATTTGTAAAAATTAATTTTTTAATTGAAAAAGAAACAAACTTGTTACAGGTGATCATCATGTTATCTATTAAAACCAGTACTGTTTGTATTTTTAAAAGGGAGATCTGAATAAAATTGAACTGCATTGTAGTTTCATCTTGTCTGTTTTAAAGTTTGGTTTATTTTGTTACTGATTGTACTCAACTCACTTGAAAACAGATAATCAATGGTTTGTTGTGAATTTCGCACAAAGCTACATGAGGGCTATCTGCGCTAGCCGTCCCTAATTTAGCATTGAAAGACTAGAGGTAAGACAGCTAGTCATCATCACTCAGCGCCAACTCTTAGGCTACTCTTTTACTAACGAATAGTAAGATTGACCGTCACATTATAACGTCCCGACAGCTGAAAATGCGAGGATGTTTGATGGGACAGAGAATTCAACCCGCGACCTTCAGTTTGCGAGTCAAGCGCCCTAACAATCTGGCCATGCTGAGCCAATAATCAATGAAACAAAGGTTTAACTCAACACATTCATTAACATGACAGTAGCTCGTTCATTACTTTAAATTTAAAACTCTTTCGGTTACTATCTGATATTTTTTAAACCGTGACAGGGATTCAGTTTATGAAGAACAGTTTGTCATAATCAGACGTGTCTGCCAGCTCTTTCTAACTAGGTGTTCAGAAACTTCAGTAAACTTCGTATGAACATTATTTCGCGCTGTGGCCTAAGTCGGATGGTTTGAGTCTTGATCGTCTTGAGCCAATGGGCTAATCAAGTTGTTTAATTTTCTTCCCTATCCACCTCGTGAGCATGGGAGAAGAGAGCAGTGAAGACAAAGAGCCATTGCGAAGACAGTGTTACGTACTTAGAAAAAGAAGCAGAACAGAGAAAAGAAACATTAAAAGTAATAACAACAGACCCGTCTTATAGATTTTTTGTAGGGTATGTTGTATGTTACGACCCTTTTTGGGGGGGCTACGATTTAGTGATCCAATGCCCAAAAGTATTGGTTGTCTGAGTTGATCGGAGTACTCCAAAGAAAACCCAGACGTCGAAAAATCCATCTGACCTGTGCCAAGCTGTAAGGCAAAACAGTTATACGTGTTTTGTGTATTCTGTGCAGTATTGGTTGTAAGGTTATATAAGTTTATGAGGTGCACTAATGTTTTTGTGAAGGGTAGAGTTTAATTAATTAATTAATTTTCTATCAGTCTAATATATATATACCATATTCTTGTAATTATGTAAGTAAACACAAAATATACTCTAAGTATCTTTAAGACACTTAAAAAGCACCTATCGTAGTTGATAAGCAATCTTATGTCTAGCTAAACAACTGTGAAACAAACTCTCAAGTATAAAAAATAAATGCATTATTAAAAGTGTGTTAAATCCATAACATCAAAGTGTTTTTATAATAACCTGACTCGAGATTATAATAATAAATTTTAGACTTTTCAATGCTTCTTAAACCTTTAACGATGTGACATATGGCTAACATCACCAGTATTTTTAATTCCTTTAAGAAACTGCTTCTGAAAGAAAATCAGTTTATTTTTATAGCTATTAAATTGCAGGTACTAACGCGTTTTTTTTATTTGTAAACTCATTATTTCAACATAAATAAGATAAGTTCAAAAATATCAACATAAAAAGTAAAACAAATGTCTCGAAACTATATGGTACTTTCTGTTTTATTTCTAATATTAAATCTTAAGCTTTATATTAATATTTGGTTACTTTAACTAATACAAATCTGGAAATCATTAATGTTAACGCACATTTACATTTTTAACAAGATGCTGCTATGTTCGATATGTTTCATTTTATTGTCATATTGTGTTTATATAGTTCAGTATTATCTCCCCTTTACCACAAGCCACTCATGCTTAGTAGCCAGCGTTGAAAGGTTCGGGCACTTTGTTAAAGAGACATACACTTCCTATAATCAGTTCAAACAACCGAAAAAGACCCTAGTGATGACGGGTACTACCTTCTTACTGGTTAGTAGTTCAAACCCAGTTGATTTTGACCATTTAAAAACCCAACTAATCGTAGGGTATCGTTCAAGGTGAAAAGTCTAGTTTCTCTTCATCATCACTACTTTGTCTGTTGTTTGAAATAAAAATTAAACAAATTACCATTACTGTTTTCTATTTTAAAGATTATGAAAGTGATCCATTAGGTAGAAAACAATTGATAGATAAATCGATATTTGGCGCCATCTAGTTTACCTAAATTCATCTAGAAATTTCTTAACGGTGACCCGAAAAACGAAGCTAACTCGGACACCCGTGGCCTGATTTTAACGAAATTTGTTTTATTCTGTTTCTATTCACATTCCTATTTTCATTTTATTACAAATATGGCACTATTGTGCACCGTTTATGCTGTATTTGATTAGAGACAATCCCACAAACAAACAATCTCAGAGTTTTAGTAGTATATAGATTGAGTGCATTTAACGTTTCGCTTCAGGTTATGTCTTAATAATAGATTTTTTGTATTATTCTTTATCTTGTTCAGACTTTAGGAATATTATCTGTTTTTTGTTTCTCTTTTTTTACAGATCATTGGGGCTATTATAACCTACACTGTTATCATGATCCAGACTGGAGGAACATAATTAATTGATCAACTTATTTGAGAATGATTTCTTAATATTTTGAAAGTTCACAATTATTTAAAAAGTAATTGGAATTAAACTGTACTATTTGTTTTTCTGAAAATATCTTCTATATAACAATATATGAACAACAGAAATTAAATGATGAGATCAAAATGTGTTATGACGGAGGGCGCGTAGAAAAAACAACAATAAAATGGACCTACAGTATTATTGACTATTTGTAAATAGTAACTATGGAGACGAGGTAATAAAATAAAAATCAAGTTCAGAACAATAACAACATTTTATAAACGAAAACCTCTCGCCGAGCATTTGCTATTATATTATTTTACTGTCAATGTTCCCATCTTCATTAAAAGATATAAGATGACAAAAACAATAGCTTGAAAAATCTATCTATATAATAAACTCTGAGATTGTTTGTTTGCTTATTTTCTCAGTCACAAAAGCATTCACACTACCGTTCGCGCTCTTTACGAAACTTCATCGGGCCATGGGTTACCGAGATAGCGCCGTTTTTCGGGTCACTTTTATGAAAATTTCTAGCACGAGTAATTTTACATCACACTAACTTTCGCGCTCTTTACGAAACTTCTTCGTTCAAATCTATTTTCCTGTCAATGTTCCCATCTGCATTAAAAGGCGTAACATGACAAAAACAAGATCTTGAAGAATTTCTTAATAATGTGCCTTGGTTATAGTAGGTAATTCGAAGAAAAAATAAAGCGTTACTGTTTCTTATTAGTAGAAGGTTTAAGAGGAAAGACCACAACATAATGAACTAATTCATCACAATACCCGAAAAATCTGACTTCTACTTTTTTGAAAAATGAAATGCTTTTTCCTTTTACTCCAGATCAACAATCAAATATATTTTCTTGAATTATGAATAACATGA